CACCGCGGACTCAAATTAGACCTCGCCATCCCAGGGGGGCTGCGATCTGTGAAACTGTCGCCACTTTCGAGGCCTGCTGGGGGGCCCAGCACAGTGACGCCACACGCAGATTCAAATTAGACCTCGCCATCCCTGGGGGGCTGCGATCTGTGAAACTGTCGCCACTTTCGAGGCCTGCTGGGGGGCCCAGCACAGTGGCGCCACACGCAGATTCAAATTAGATCTCGCCATCCCTGGGGGGCTGCGATCTGAGATCCCCGCCTTCGAAGTGGCTAGGGTTGCTCAGGGATTGTAACGAATCAGCTTTATCTAGTCCTTGTCCTGTAGCCAGTGTCCTGCGAGTGTCCCGAATTCCGTCTGCAGACATATGTAACCCGCGTTCGGCCATCGCCCCCTTTATATAGTATCCTAAACTATTTGCGCCCCGCGTTTGCGCAGTACGTCGCCAGGGTATCTGTTCCGTTGCTGAGGATGACGGGGAGGCGGCGTCGGCGTCGGCCTAGATGGGGCGGCATGGATTCAAATTGAAAACGAACGATGGGGCAGAATCAGATGCAAATTGCACATCCCCAGGGCGGGGGGGCGAGATCCCAGGAGGAGACGGGGACCTTAGTCCATTGCTAAACAGAATCGATGCTGCGCAGTCTAGGTTGCGCAATCTATGTTGCGCACTTGCGTGGCGCGATCAACGCGGCGCAACTCATGGCGCAGCACTCAATGTAGCGCATGAGTTTTGCGCACCGTGCGTCGCGAGGATTCTAGTCTGCGATCTACGTGTGAGGCGCAAACAACGCGGCGCAACGTGCGTCGCGCAATATTTGGCGCGCCGCGAGTTATGAGGCACGCGTGGCCCTCGACGTGGCGCCATCTACGTGGCGCAGACAACTTCTCGCTATAATTTGGGTTATCAGCTCCACTGCTCGCGCAATCACCCCGCCCGCCCATCCGAAACTTGGCGTGCACAAGTCACGCGGCGGCGACTGCGATGAGCACCTGGCGGGCCCATCTGCGGGCGCGCTAGCCCGCGCCTGCTCGCGCGCAGAGCGGCCAGCGAGTTTGACGCGACCGACGCGGCCGCGGCGGCTCCGACCGCCGGGCGCGCACCGGCGCGTCTCGCAGGCCGCGCGGACGCGCGCGGGCTCATAGGTGCGAGACGGTGATTTGGACGGGCGCGGTATCATGGTGACATCGACAACGCTAGACACGACGATGATAATGGCGACTGAGGATGACTACGGCAAGACAAACAACGGCTCCGATGCTGATGACGCCGACGACGATGATGGCGCCCACGCGTCGGCGACGAAGGTTCTGGAAGGATTTCGACGCGCGCGCGCGCAAGGGCGCTCGAATGATTTCGACGCTCGCGCCCGAGGGGCCCACCTGGTCGATTTCGATGAAACTTGTGAAAACGCATTTTTCCCCTGATTCGCAATAACGCACGCGCAGATTTTTTTTCTAAAACTAGCGTCGCAAAACCATGCTCTCGCATGTTTTCGGGGCACGGCATCGAATCCCCCTCACGGAACCTGGGACTTCTGAGCGATTCCGGCGCGCGCGCGTAGCCACGCGCGCGCGCGAGGCCATCGCCCCGTTCGTCCGCAACGGACTTGGACACTGGTGACTTTGGGCTAACATGCGCGCGAATAATGTTTTTTTGCAGACGAGGGCGGCGGGGTCGACACCGGCTGGGCTGGGATGGCGGCGCGAGCTTTCAGAAGTAACGACGCGGCAGAATCAGACGCAAGTTGCACATCCCCGTTGGGGGGGGGCGATAGTCCGGCGGGGGGGGAGGTCATATATAAATCTATAAATATATATATAATATTTTTAATATATATATATATATTTTTTTTGGGGGGGAAATTGACTCTGCCGAACTTGAAGTCGTCGACCCCATTGCCCGCGCAATCGCCGCGCCTGTCCGCGCGCACACAAGTTGGGCTGCTGAACCCATGCCACGGCGATTGCGATGGCTGCCTGGCGCTGGCTGACGCATCGCTGCGGCTGCGCTAGCGCGCGCGGGCTCGCGGCGCGACAGACGCGCCCGCGGCGGCGCTGACCGCTTGGCACTTTTTGGCGCGTCTCGCAGGCCGCGCGGACGCGCGGACACTTCGGCGCGAGCGGGCGACTCGGGCGGGCGCGGCATCGCGGCGACGTCGACGGCGGCAGACGCGATGATGGTAGAAGCCGGCGACGATGATAACGCTGAAGACAGCACGACTACACAGTATCACATGGCGCTGTTTGACAGGGGTCGCGCCCCCTCCCCCCCCCCGCCCGCGCACGCG